TGTATGTGTCCTGGAGGGCAGGTAGTTTGCCCCCGGTGATGCGTTGTGCAGACCGCACCACCCTCTGGAGAGCCCTGCGGTTGTGGGCGGTGCAGTTGCCGTACCAGGCGGTGATACAGCCCGACAGGATGCTCTCAATTGTGCATCTGTAAAGGTTTGTGAGGGTTTTAGGTGACAGGCCACATTTCTTCAGCCTCCTGAGGCATCAATAAGGGATCATAGCTTTCACCTGGATTCACCTGGTCAGTCTATGTCATGGAAAGAGCAGATGTTTTTAATGTTTTGTATACTCAATGTATATGTTCAATTGGGGTTTTCCAGCTCCATTGCTTAACATTTGAACAAACATGGTTCTTACAATAACAACTTCCCTGCAATGATTCAGCTGCCCAAAATCACTGACACGTTTACTGAGTCTGTCTGCGTCACTGTCCACAGATAAACCTAGAAATGTCCCAAATTTTGAGCGGCGGCCAATGCTTTCCAATGTTTTCCCAGTGTTGTGTGGTTTTCCAGGGGCTCACTCAGTGTAACAGTTAAGTCAATACAGAGCTGGCCTGGCTTGCTCAACAATACTCCCTGGTTTACCCAGTCTGTTGTGGTGTTCTTTAATGAGAAGTCGAGGACACAGTCAACGCAATTCCCTTCATGTGCTAAAGTACAATTTTGAAAAATAACAGTATTGTGGTCAGGAGCATTTACATGGTATTGCTAATGTATCAAAACAACTACTCTCAATCTTTAAAAGATTCATATTAGATGTCCTCTTCAGGTTTATTCCACAATAGCCTATTATATTGGAGGATAACTAGCCTTTCGCGGTTACTCTAACCGTATTGGGAGTTGATAATAATATCGACCTCAGTAATAAATCCAGTTGTGTGTCAGTCACTCACAGCTCTGCTTATATGGATCTGTGCCTGTAGGAATCACAAGGTAAAAACACTGACTACATACTGTACGTAACTGGGTACCATTGACAGAGTGAATGTTGTATATTTGCAGCAGGTAGCCTAGCGGTTAGGAACGTTGGGCCAGTAACCGAAAGCTTGTTTGTTCGAAACCCCAAGCCGACTACATGAAAAATCTGCTGATGTGCCCTTGAGCAAGACATTAACCGTAATTGTTCTGGATAAGAGCGTCTGCTAAATGACCAATCATTTTACATTCTAACCAAAACAGATTATCTTAGGTTCATCAAGATAATGAGATTGTAATATTTTCTGGTCCTAGAAAATTAAGCATTGAGCCAATTTAGTCAAACTGAGAACATTTTATGAATTAGAATATGTTTGTAATCTCATCTGTCTCTGATATGGGCAGACGCTGACTCTACCAAACCAGGATTGGTGTCACGGTTTGCACTGCCATAATCTGACTGGCACAGTTTTCTGTAGTTTATGCAAAGGAGGACTTGCCTGGTCAAACCAACCGCTGCCCTCTTGTTTCGTGTTTCTTCTCTTGTCACTGTGACATGTCACTACACTACAGATGTAGGATCTTAATTTCAGCCAGTTTGCCGACAGCAGGAACATAACTCTGCAGCAACAGGAAATGTGAATTATTATGTGGATTATAATGAATAAAAAAATGTGTAGGGGTTGATACATTTTTCGGAAGGGAAATCAAGTCTGATATTTCAAAATGGGAATTACAAACTTCAGAAGCCTTTTTAAACCTCAAATACACTAAACATGTTGAATGTCCTGCATTGAAGGAAAGTTATCCTGCGTCAGGGTGATCAAATTAAGATCCTACAGCTGTACTTTATACGTGTTGTGAAACAGAGTGTGAGCTTGTGAGATCAGGATGGTAGATCAGGCTAAAGGAGTTCCACCCCATGCACTCAAACGAACCCAAAAGAGTACCACCACTGCACTCAAATGAACCCACAGTGTGACACAAATAAGGACAAAACAAACTGACCAGCTGCTGTTGTTATGATGGCCTTGTAGTATGCCCCATCAATCAATGTCTCTAAGGTTACGATTAAGCAAGAAAGGGAATGTAAGGTAAACCATGTATAGTGTTGAACTGCACAAACCTTTCTTCTTATCCTCAGTTAATTGATGTTATGGAAAGTCAAAAGCAATATGTAAGTTAAAAGGTGTGTCTCCAACCAAAGATGTCTCTAGAAAACTTGATTTTGAATAGGAAGTATGCAAATTGCAACTGTTGGTGCTGCTGCCTTCTTGTTATTTTAATGTGTGCTATTGAAATGATCAGAGATTTTGCTAGCTTCAGTCATCACAAATAATACAAGAATCCTATATATTATATCTAGCCCTGTTCAGTTCATCAGATTTGCATGATCTATTTGCTAAAACTAAAACTAATCAACTAATGACAAACTAATGATACAGCTGCTAGAACCTATCCAGGAAGAAGAGGAGGAGGAGGCGGATGAAGAGGAAAATACAAGGAGGAGAAAGAAGGGGAAGAGTCTTCACTAAAGGTGTGGAGGCCTAGCCGGGACTCCAGTTCTCTGAAGCAGAGTAGTGCTGCCTATGTGGAGATCGTCAATCTCTCTGTAGGCCTACCATATCCAACTACTACCCAGACAACAGGGGACCTCTAGGTGAGGTTACCCCACCAGGGTTCACCTTCCCTGGGAAACAGAGAGGCTGATGGGGAAGAGGATGGAGCTCAGCTGGAAGTAGAGGTAAGTAGGCTGCTGTCCCCAGTCATCTTCTCACTTTATATTTTTGGTGCAAGTATTTACACTTATTTCAGCCTCAGCCTCAGCTACCCACCAACAGGAGAGGGAAACAAACCCAACGCGCAAGGAGGAGACTCTCCTGGTCATCGTCAGATGAAGAGCAACCAACTACACCACAACGACCACAGTAGAGGAGAGGGAAGGACGCGCTACCACCAACCACAGAAGAAAAGAGGGGCTAGAGGACGGAGAAAGGTGCCAACTGCAGTGAGTACCAATAATAAGCCTATAGTCATGATGGTCTGGACAAACAAAATATATCAAAAATACAGTGCCCTCCACACAGTAATTGTGTTTATGGTGATTTAATAATTCAATTATAGTGATCAAAGACAAATTTTGATCATCTGTCCATGATACTTTTCTCACTTTATCCCCCTAGGATGATCCTTTCCCACAATGGCTGGTGAATCTGATGCACAACATTGAGGAGGCTACAACATACAGTGCCTTCGGAAAGTATTCAGACCCCTTGATTTTTCCACATTTTGTTACTTTACAGCCTTATTCTAACATTTATTTAATAGTTTTTTCCCCTAATCAATCTATCCACAATACCCCATAATGACAAAGCAAAAACCGGTTTAAAAAAAATAACAAAATAAAATATAACATTTACATAAGTATTCAGTCCCTTTACTCAGTACTTTGTTGAAGCACCTTTTGCAGAGATTACAACCTTGTCTTCTTGGGTATGACGCTACAAGCTTGGCACACCTGTATTTGGGTAGTTTCTCCCATTGTTCTCTGCAGATCATCTCAAGCTCTGTCAGGTTGGATGGGGAGTGTTGCTGCACAGCTATTTTCAGGTCTCTCCAGAAATGTTTGATCGGAGACTTGTCCCGAAGCCACTCCTGCGTTGTCTTGGCTGTGTGCTTAAGGTTGTTGTCCTGTTGGAAGGTGAACCTTCGCCCAAGTCTGAGGTCCTGAGCACTCTAGAGCAGGTTTTCATCAAGGATCTCTCTGTACTTTGCTCCTTTCATATTTTCCTTGATCCTGACTAGTCTCTCAGTCCCTGCCGCTGAAAAACATCCCCACAGCATGATGCTGCCACCACCATGCTTCACCGTAGGGATGGTGCCAGGTTTCCTCCAGACGTGACGCTTGGCATTCAGGCCAAAGAGTTCAATCTTGGTTTCATCAGACCAGAGAATCTTGTTTCTCATGGTCTGAGAGCCTTTAGGTGTCTTTTGTCAAGCTCCAAGCGTGCTGTCAAGTACCTTTTACTGAGGAGTTGCTTCCATCTGGCCACTCTACCATAAAGGCCTGATTAGTGGATTGCTGCAGAGATGGTTGTCCTTCTCGAAGGTTCTCCCATCTCCACAGAGGAACTCTAGAGCTCTGGCAGAGTGACCATCGTGTTCTTGGTCACCTCCCTGACCAAGGCCCTTCTCCCCCGATTGCTCAGTTTGACCGGGCGGCCAGCTCTAGGAAGAATCTTGGTGGTTCCAAACGTCTTCCATTTAAGAATGATGGAGGCCACTGTGTTCTTGGGGACCTTCAATGCTGCAGACATTTTTTGGTAACCTTCAACCAGATCTGTGCCTCGACACAATCCTGTCTCGGAGCTCTACGGATAATTCCTTCCACCTCATAGCTTGGTTTTTGCTCTGACATGCACTGTCAACTGTGGGACCTTATATAGACAGTTGTGTGCCATTCCAAATCATGTCCAATCAATTGAATTTACCACAGGTGGACTCTAATCAAGTTGTAGAAACATCTCAAGGATGATCAATGGAAACAAGATGCAACTGAGCTAAATTTCAAGTCTCATAGCAAAGGGTTTGAATACTTATGTAAATAAGGTATTTCTTTTTTTAGGTTTTAATACATTTGCAAAAATTTCTAAAACCCTGTTTTCTACTTGTCATTATGGGGTATTGTGTGTAGATTGCTGATATTTTTTATTTATTTCATCCATTTTAGAATAAGACTAACGTAACAAAATGTGGAAGAAGTACTTTCCGGCTTGTTGAACCAGTCAACAACCAGCTTGTTGAACCAGTCAACAAGCTGGTTGTTGACTGGTTCAAACATTAACCTCCCTGAGGGTCAAAGTTCTGTATAAATACTGCAGCTCTTCTATTCGGAGAATTCAGTGCAGAAGGATAGAAGGAAACCTATAACTACCTATCTAGAGTATATTGTGCTTGTCAAAAGTACTCGAAAACTAAGCAAAAACTATACTTGACGATTCAAGATTACACTAAAGAAATCCATAAGTACACCTGACTGTAGATTCTAGATTCTTCCTACACCTGAAGATTTCAGATTGAAGATGCTTGGATTATATGAGAAGTTGACCCTGCTGGCAGCGGTGTCATTGTCCCTCCTGGCCTCTCTGGCCCTGTCTTCCCCCGTGGTGGGTCCAGAGCCTATTCGCTGTGCCCCCTGTTCCAAGGAGAAACTGGATGAATGCCCGGCCATCTCCTCAGACTGTAAGCAGGTTCTAAGGGAGCCGGGATGTGGCTGCTGCTTGGCATGTGCCCTGGAGAAGGGGGCCTCCTGTGGGGTTTACACAGCCCACTGTGCTGAGGGGTTCAAATGCAGCCCTAGATCTGGAGACCCCAGACCTCTCCACTCTCTCACAAGGGGACAGGCCATCTGCACTGAGGATGAGGGACAAGGTAGACTCAGCTTTCTGTTGTTTTGTTTTAGTTTTTCAATAATTGATTCAATGATGAATTGATTAAAAAAATATTTTAAAATGTCACATGCTTCATAAACAACTAACTCCATCCCATAAAGTGACTAACTCCATCCCAACAATGCAGAGAGAAAAATAGAAAAATTATAGAAAGATAATAACACAAGGAATAAATACACAATGAGTAACGGTAACGGCAAATTTTTGACAACATAATACAAAATATATAATGTCAACTAATGCTAAACATGGTATACTTACCCACTCATTTCTCTCTCTAATCCACAGAGGAAGTAGAGTGGTTGACAGACCACACCTCCCTGCCCTACCTCCTGGGATTCAACACCCCGTTTGACCCCAGAGATGAGGGGGCTCAGGAGAGCATCAAGGCCAAGGTCAACGCCATCCGCAAGAAACTGGTGGAACAGGTACGCACAGTATTCAATCTGACTTTCTGTTAGAGTTAGTTAGGTGTCTTACTGTTAGTTAGGTAGCTAGGTCATCGGACTGTAATGGTGGAACAGTTGGGCACAACATACACCTGGGGCCTAATGTATCTAGCTTCTCAGAGTAGGAGGTTTGATCTAGGATCAGGTCTCCCCCTCTCCATGTAATCGTATTAATTATGATCTAAAAGGCTAAACTGATCCTAAATCAGATGCTTTATACGGCCCCTGACTTACTTTCTTCTTCTTTACCATTAGCTTAATGGAGCAAAGGGCCTCTAAAACCTGACTTAGAGTTCAAGTCAATTTAGCTGCTAGCCACCAGAGGAAGCTGTTGCCATTTTAACAAAAACTACCAAGAAAGTGTTATTCCCTTGAGATTAAATTTGCTTTGAATCTAATCACGTGGTGATTTAATCTGTTTCAGTCAGATATAACTCCTTATTTCATATGTATTCTGTGTCCATATTTCTGTATATATTGTATGTGTTAGATGTTCATTGCCCTCTCTCTGTCCTACCCCTAGGGGCCCTGCCACATCGAGCTGCATGCAGCCCTCGACAGGATAGCCAGCTCTCAGCAGGAACTAGGAGAGAAGTTCACCACCTTCTACCTCCCCAACTGTGACAAACATGGCTTCTACAAGGCTAAGCAGGTAAGCAGCCTATGCGTCTACTTCCAGAGCTGCCCCGATAGAGAGGGGTTGGTGTGTGTAGCAATAGCATTAGCTCATTAGTGGTTGATAGTAGGACCAGGTGATCTGACCAGGAAAACTCTGGTTCCTAGTTGAGAGTTCAATAAAAAATTGCAATGTAGTGAAGTTGATCCATGTCGTTTAATATCTTTCTCTCTCATTTCCCCCCTATTCTGTTTTGTTTTAGTGTGAATCGTCTCTGGTGGGACCCCCTGCCAGGTGTTGGTGTGTGTCCTCCTGGAATGGGAAGAAGATCCCGGGGTCAAATGATCTACTAGGAGACTCAGAGTGCCAGCAGGAGCTCACTCACTAAAGCATGGACACTCTGACACACATTTACAGTACGCATATACACGGGCACATGCAAGCACTTGCACACAGCCGCACACAGGCACAAACACACACTCACACTCACATACCCCTGCACGTACACAAGCACAGTCACATGAATGCACGCACACACGTACGCACACACGGACACACGCGTATGGACATATACTGTGTCTTTCTTTACTCAGCTTAAACACTACTGAACACATACATAGGTGTCCGCAAACCTACACACATCCACATCCACCAAATATACTGACTTTCTTTTTACAAACCCGTACAAAAACACTCTCATTCACATGAGCACACAACATAAAATTTTATTTCCAAAAAAGAGAAATTACTCTTAATTTATTTACATGACGTATCACACCTTATTTATTCAAAATGTGTATGTGCTTACTAGTATGAACCATTTGTAATTTTTAGATTATTTATATGTTTGTCTATTTTCTGATTGTAAATAGGGCAACAGTGTATACATTTGTGTTTCTGACTAAATAACTCCATCTCTGAAGACCACAGGTCTCCAGCTCTGCCAAACCCAGTTCAGGGTCTTCAGAATCTGTTTTTGATTCATTCAACCCGGTGGACCTGTGCACTGTAAATGAAACAACACATCCATTCATTCATTCAACATGTTGACAGTGTCGGAATGTATTCTCATTGACATTTCCTCAATGGGTATCGGGGAAATACTTAAAGTGCCACAAGTATGCATCTGGTGACCAGGCACAAACATATCACTGCTCATCCAAGCCACTGTTTGGTTTTGGGTGAGTTTTTCTGTCTTCATCTACCTCTACTGGTCTGTGCAGGTCTTCTGGTTTAGCAGAGGTTTGTTGGGACACTCTCTGCACGTACACCGCCCTCCTCATGTAAAGTCATTGTTTAATTTGTCTGAAAGGACGTCTTATCTCTTTTGTTTCATTTGATGCCATGATGAAATGTCTATTTATTATATGTCAAGCCCCTGTTCCTGACAGCAAGTCAGAAATATGTTACGAGATATGCTGCTATTACTTTTTGTTTGGTTTGTTACAAATCATGTATAGCCTCCCTTTTACGAAAAAAGATTGCAGTCAGAGTGCAGTATAACTGCAGTATGCTGCAAATACTGTGTCCAAAAAAACACCGTTTTTTTTTTACTGCAGTAAGCTTGCAGTGTAATTGCAGTTAGAGTGCAGTATAACTGCAGTATAACTGCAGTTTAACTGTAGTACACTGCAGTTATTGACTCCAAAATACCACAGTCGACTGCAGTTACTGCAATCTTTTTTTGTAAGGGCTATGTTAGTTACTCTGTCGTAATTCTGTGCATTCAATAAACATGTTAACCTCAATGGTTTTTATGTGCATGTTTCTGTAGCATAGGACACGTAAGGATACGGCAAATGTGGAGAGAGTTGAATGAAGACATCAATGCCAATAATTTAATTAAAGTAAGTATTTATTTGAAGTGAGGAAATGTACAAAATCACTCTCCCTCCACACCAGAGGTCCTTATATATCCCCTGGCTTTAACCCCAAGGCTAGGGGAATACTTGTTTCTCAACAAATTTAGAAAATACTTGCAGGATAGTGTTCAAGATCCTGGGCTGAGTCTAGAATAGTACCATATTACCGATAGTGCGCTACTATAGACCTGGTCAAAAGTAGTGCACTACATACTGAATAGGGTATTTCTTTTTTTGGGGGGTGTGAACCCAAAACACTTCCAGAGCTAGCAACATGCTAATCTCCCTAGGTTACCTCTCCAACTTCCTGTAACAAACACATTCACCCTCAACAGAACCTCTAGTGGCAATATTTATGAGGGATCTCATCAAGTTATATTTGTAAAAAAAGTATTCAGAATCTCAGCTTCATTAAAAACAATCATGGACATTTAGAAATTCAGATAACACACAAATGTACATTACATAGCAATGGAAGCTGGCGTCAGCTTTAATGCATTTATTTGTATACAGCATATTGGCCTTGAACCTAGACATAGCTAAAATGGTGAAAAGGAATCTCTGAAAACAGATCAGGCACAAAAACATGTGCGCACACACACGCACACAGTCGTGAAAGATAAGGGTTTGTACTGTCCCCTTTATCCCAGTAACCAGCTTATGCAAACTGACAGAGAAGAGGAAGAACGACCACACCGTTGACTGTGGGGAATGTCCCTCCCCTCTCTCCGTACATTGAAATCCAGCAGAAATATGTTCCACTGGTAGATGTGTAGGGAATGTACTTAGAGAGTATACTAAACATTAGGAACACCTTCCTAATATTAAGTTGCACCCCCTATTGCCCTCAGAACAGCCTCAATTTGTCAGGGCAGGGGCTCTACAAGGTGTCAAAAGTGTTCCACGGGGATGCTGGCCCCTGTTGACTCCAATGCTTCCCACAGTTGTGTCAAGTTGGCTGGTAGACGATTCTTGATACACACGGGAAACTGTTGAGCATGAAAAACCCAGCAGTGTTGCAGTTCTTGACACACTCAAAACGGTGCGCCTGGCACGTACTACCATACCCCGTTCAAAGGCACTTAAATATTTTTTCTTGCCCATTCACCCTCTGAATAAACACATACACAATCCCTGTCTCAATTGTCTCAAGGCTTAAAAATCCTTCTTTAACCTATTTCCTCCCCTTCATCTACACTGATTGAAGTGGATTTAACAAGTGACATCAATAAGGGATCATAGCGTTCACCTGGATTCAGCTGGTCAGTCCACGTCATGGAACGAGCAGGTATTCCTAATGTTTTGTACACAGTGTATATGAGCTGCATAGGAAAGATGAGAACAACATCCAAGCTTTATAGTCAACTCCCTTAAAGGGTCCTGAGGAGAGGGCAGTGATCCTACAGTGAGATACTGAATGGACTAAAAGCTGAGTTATGTATTCTCTGCCACAAATTGGGAAAGCATTTTATGACACTGTACTGTGCCACAGGGTGGTCGTACACCAGCACCCCATAGCATACGGTTACACGTATAGACAAAGAGACACAACCACACAGACACATACAAACGCACACATTTAAACAAAAACATACAGTAACATATCAAACATACAGAATCACACACATACAAATATAATCATATAATGTAGCCATTCAAACCCACACACGTGAGTATAGTGCCACCTAGCTGTGCGTTGGTGTACGCCTCTCATTGAGGGTCGAGACAGGTACTGTATATGATCCTCTGTCATCAAGTCTGTAATCATCAAGGCTAGCCCTCTGCTATGGAGTGAATGATTACATCTCATGTGTCCTTCTTAGTTACATAAAACAAGTCTGGTCTGCCCTTTCAGTCTATGGAGAATCCATCCACACACTGCTTACAGTACATATGAGCAGCACATAGCATAGGAGGATGTTTGTTGGACACAAGGAGTGTGATTGGATGAGTCCTGTCTTCTTCTCAAGCCACTCCCCCTGCCCTGCCCTCCATAAGGTCCCATGGGCCAAAGAGTCATCAATGCCAGCCAACACATGTCCAGGCCCAGCCATTTTGGACCCTTTTGAATCCCAATATCCTCATAGTTTCTCTGTGTATTCATGGATCCTTTTTTCTTTCTCTCACCCTCTCTCTCTCTCTCGCTTTCTCTCTCTGGCTCTTTCTCGCTGCTCTTGTCTTATTGGCTCTCTGAGTTGTAGCACTGAGCGTCTCCTCGCTCCTTCCCGTCGAAACCTGGCAATGGCTGCCCATACTTATCGACACACCAGCAAAAACCTCGCTTTCTGCCCTTGGATGGACGGCACTGTGTGAGAAAGAGAAAGAGAAAGAGAGAGAGAGACATACAGGGAGAAAACATTATGAGAAAAAGATTTAGACTATTACACCGTAGATCATCTAGCACAATGGCAATATAAAAGGACTTAAGGAAGTGGGACAAGAAATGGTTAAGGACATTAACGTCCATTTTGTGCGGAGGAGACTTGGCCATGGGACGCATGCTGGTGGTATTTTGAGCTGCTTTTACGGTCTACCTCCAGTTACACACACATATAGAGAGCTTAAAGGTAAACAGAAACCTGGTAAAATATTTGCTTAGGCCCATTTGTGAACAACTGAGACCCAAGATCTATTTTCAGTGAGCTGGTGGCCAGTACAAATCATCTGTTGCTGATTATACCCCACAGCTCCAAATTATGGGTACTACAAATGACTTACAGAGTCTCTGGAGCAACCCAAGGGCTGTTATTTTACTGCCAATTTTACTAAAGGTCAGAGTCCTCTCTAGTAAAACATGCAGGAATTCATTTGAAAAGCAGGCGAACAAACAGCGTCACTCTGTAAAAGAGTTCATCAGAATGGAAGTCAACCCTTTCTCTGCTTAATATTACATTTGTCTAGGTATCTGACCCTAGAGACTAAGATACTCAAC